ATCCTTATAGCCTGGAGGACGATATATTGCTAAGAGAACTGTGTTAGAGTCAATTTTTACCATCAAACAATTTGCATCTATAATTGAGGGTTCTTCCACAGAAACTACAATATTTTTACGAACATACACAACTACTCCCTCATTTTGTGTCAGATTCTTATTAGTATTAAATTTATTATAGCCTTGAAGGTCTGGAATGAGTGGAGTAGTAGTAAGCCAACATTCTGAGAGCGCAATAATGTCCCATTCTACATTCGTTCTTGCAAGAACGGTATACAGTCCTGTCATATTTTTTGATATACTTCTAATATTTTGATTAAGTATTTTGAGTGTTCTAATTGTTTCAATTTATTTATTGGCCTTGTTACAAAAAAGGCACATTTTTTCAAAATATAAAATATTGAAGTAATTGAAAATACCTTATTACTGCAATTTCATTAAATAAAAATCAATTAAATTTGATGACATTTAAACTTAACACTACAATAATAATACGAATTTCTTGTTGTGTTTTTTGGTTTTAACTAAATCTAGTTAGTAAAACTAGTGATAATTTTTTCATTATTTCTTAGATTTTAGTTATGGATGTTAGAACTTTTTAATAATTTTCCTTCTTCTTTGCTTTTAACTGCCTCCGTGGCCGAACGGTTACCATGCCGGGCTGCCACGCAGAGGTCTCAGGTTCGATTCCGGGGCCGGGAGAAATATTTGTATGGTCTACATTTATTTCTCTCGTGAGATTGGGTGTAATTTGTGGTTGTCTATGTGTGTGTCCATGGCACCCGCGACACAGGGTTTCCCTAGTGCGGGGCTATGTTGAATGTGTGCGTGTGTGTGTGTGTGCGTTTGTGAACTGCTAGCTTTACAATGTTAAGTAACAAACAATAATTCATTGTATAAATATATTATTTATTTTTATGAAACAAAATTGCTATCTCTACTCATGTAGGATTCTCCTAAAAATGATAGGCTAGGCGGGTTATTAAACCCTGACTACAATACTATGAACTATCTCCAACACTATTTATATGAGGTATGTATGTCCTGTAAAGAATGATTTTGGAAGTATTAAAATAATACAAATTTAAACGAAATATTTAATCTCTTGAAGTACATTCATTGTATTTATGTTACAAATTACATATTTATTTTCTTAACGTTCTGCACGTTGAATTTTATTTAACATTCTTCTAAAACATTTGCTTATACTATTTGCTTTATAAATAATTAAAATTATGCTTACAAAATAGACTCTTTGGTGTCAAATGATTAGGGATATTTTATAGATAGATAAATAAAATGTTTATCTAGCACAAATACAAACATAAACAAACATTTACAATTACTTCACAAGGTATAATACAAAAGCACTTAGAACATACAGTACACATTGATATAAACACACATTTGTAGAGAAAAACTTAAATTTTATCATTACTACTTGCAACAGCTTGTGCTGAAATTACCATGACTCAGCATACATACTTGTAGACCGTGGAAAGTCAAACAGCACTTGTTTTATACCACCAATATGGTGAGCGATTACATCACAGTAAGACATGGCACCAAAGTGCATCACACTCGTACAAGTCGTACGACTTAGTTGTGTGTACACACACAACTCCAAAATCATATGTTTATCAAGTATATTAAATATGGTTGAATGTGATTAATACTAATGTAAGTAAACATTAAGTTTTAAAACATTATACCTCTACTTCAGTCATCAAACAATGAAAATAGTAAACAGAAAATTTTAATCACAAGCCAACCATTGCACGCCACACTAACTCAATGCGGGTTGGCACTTCATATGTTTCGCAAGCGTTGTGAACCTTTTTGACATCCAAGTTCACCATCAGTGAGAGGTATTCTACTAAATATTAAAAACTATACGTAACTTAGATATTAAATTTATAGATCCATGCGTCACAGGGATTCAAATTCTCTTTATAGATGACTGAATTATCACATCTGTTTTACTATTTCTACCTTAAGGAATGTGTTATGAATATTATACTTATGCAAGTAATGTATATAATTTTACATAAAACCTCAAATTTCGTTCCGTCGGTAAAATTTTAAACAAACTGTTAATATGGTATGGAAATAAAACCAACATTACTTAATTTAATTATTAAAAATGGTTGATGTTGCAATTTATTTCAAAGAGAAGGATCAAAAGGCTTATATAATAATTATTTTTTCTATTTTCTAGTTTTGTACTAATCATTTAACATTATTTATTACTATTGCAGGCGTAACTGTGGTGGACTGTACACAAGTAAACTAATGTAAATTATTTGAATAGGAACATGTAAAACAGGCTCGAAGAATGAAATACTAATAATCCCTGTACTTTGCTATATGTATGTAATGCAAGCACCTAATTCAAAGACAGTGGCAGCGCAGGGTCTGCTGACAAAAAATTTAAAATAATACTATTTTTCTTTCTTCACTTTATCAATGTTGCCATCCATGCTCTGTATAAAGACTAACTAAACTATAACAAATGACATTTAGCACTTATTGATATGTAACTTAAAAATACATAAAAATAACTGTTAACATATAAATATTTACTAGGAATATACTTCTTATAATTTATTAATTATGCCATAACATGTGATCTCTTTAAACACCAACATTAGAATAGACATTTATTGCAACGCCACAACACATAGATACAAAAAAAAATTGATACCAGTTAGACAAGAAACACAAAATAAAAAGACGTAATTAACAAAATTAAAATATAAAAAAATAAGACAAAACAAACAAAAAGCAAAAAAGAAACTAAATATAACGACTACAAATGTTGTACTGTCACGTGTGTGGTTGTGGCGTCCGCTTCAAAAGGACTTCATTCACTTCACTCAGCATATGACACAGCCGTAATTGGGTGTGGCGCTGGTTTTCATTAGACAATGACATATTCACATTCGTTTTTTTATTTTATGATAGACACTCTTAGCGCTCTTGCACACTGCAACCGATACGTAATTGTTCGGAATCCGAGACTACACAAATCTAGAAAACTCGGACCCACTTCAGACGTCGCTTGTGAACTAAGTCCGTTTCGAATCCGAGAAAATACGAGTATCGCTTGTACAACTAGAGATAAAATTATCCCTGTGATATTTCGGAACGTCATTTCTCGGATGCGGAACAGGGGGTCTTCTCTCGATCTCTGTCCGACATCCGTCCAAAACAATAACTGTCAAATAAGTAATATTCAACAAAATTAAAAGACAAGTATCCAGTGTGAAGCTTCATTCGCATCACGCGTCTTTTCATTTGATCAAGTATTGCTTATTTGGCAGTAATTATTTCGGACGGAGATCGAGAGTAGACCCCCTGATGCGAAGCGGACGTAGTGCACAAACTACTAAGATCTTTGGAGGCACTGCCACTTGCACCCTTCACCCTTGACAGGTGACCTGATGACCTGAGACACAAAGTTGACAGGTCCCATGTGCCTGCAGTTTCACCAACTTACACATTACCTACTGCTAGGCGGCAGAAATAGATATGGTGGCGGTACTTCCCTGGACGAACTCTTACACGAAAAGGTCTATTGCAACTAAACGAAATAAAATATGTCTACAGCGACCTATTGTGTATGTGTAATTTAATATGCTAGTATTATTTTAATATCAATATTAACAATGTCGTGCGAGGCCTTCAAATGAATCATTTGGTAATAATAATGGCACTAAGATTGCCTATTGCATACGTGACATCTTGTTGTCACACAAGGATTGCATATTCAGAGGTTATTAAAATCCTTGCAGATGTGTGTTAGTGTGGTATTTCTTAGCATATAATAAAAAAATATACAGCTTTGTACAGGTGTAATATAACTAATTTTGTTTGTAGTCATTTTAGTATGAGAAATCGATTTTTATTGATTGATATTGGCAAGTAAAGCGGGTCATTTGATTAACGAATTTAATATTTTATATAAAATAAGCGCAATGCTCTACAGTTCTTCAAAAATGATTAGTTGTTGTGGCTTTGAAGTGACATTCCAAAAAGTACAACTAAATTAAGGATAGCCTGACGTAAGTTGCGATTTAGGAACTTTGGGTATGACATTGTAACTTGTTTCTATCGATTACAGTAATAGGTATAAAATACATATTATGATGTTATGGACTCGTACAAAGTAGATATTGTGGAAATGGTAGGTTCTGCAACTTCTGGGACTATCCCAATTTGAACATAACCAGTCTGGGTATTGGCTGTAGTTTTCAAATTTTTAGGCGCATTTGTAAAAGAACTTCGGACGTAACCCGTCTTTGGGTTAACTATAGGTTTGGGAAATTGGAATTTATTTCTTAATAAAGTACCTTTATTGTTCGTGGTTTCAGGTTCAATAGTGTCATTTCCGTTCAAATGTAACTCTATTTTTTCCGAATATACAATTTCTGTTACGTTTTGAATAATACTGTCTGGTTTCGTGTTACTGTCGGGTAATAGTTGTGTATTATTTTTTTTGCAAAGGTCGACATCTTCACATGTTGCTAGAGTATTTGGATTACTATTTAAACATTCAGTTGTAATGCAAAAAATCATAGGGCTCTTTGTTATTAAATGTTCCTCCAGAATATTATCTTGAGACATTAAAGGCTTGTTGCTATCTACGGACGTTTGTTGATTTAACTGATTAACTCTTACCTGCGCTCTTTTACACAATAATAACCAAATTTTATTTAGAATAGATTTGTTTTCGTTTACGGTAGGCGACGGAATCGTATTTGACGGAAACAATCCCTGGGCGAATATTGGGTAGATGTCTTTCTTTGCCTGCATCCTGAGTTGGTGCTTCCTTAGTAAATAACTTAGTAGGATTGTAGTTGGTACCACGGTTACAAACAGATACACCACTGTATGGTCTGCTGGTCTTTGACAAAGAACGGGTCTTTCCTCACTCCACTCTCCATAGAACAACGTGAATACGTCATGATTTTGTTTTGGAAGATATACTCTGTCACTATCCCCTAGCGCCCCATAGTGAGGATACGAGTCATTATTTACAGCACGCACTTGAAACCCAACATTGTCTACTCCTTCATCACAAGGTTTAAACTCAAGCTGACGTTTTTTTGTAATATTAAAAATTTTCTCATTGGAACCCTTTTTCAATTTAATTTGATATAAATCGACGTTGCCACCTCGCATTTTAGGTTCCTTCCATTTTAATGTAAATTTGTTACTGCCAATGGTATTTAGCGTAGGGATTTCTAACTGCCATGGTTTTCCAATTCTTGTCCTTACAAAAATATTATCCGTGTTATTTGAACAACTATTGATTTTTACGTTGCAAGCTCGTAAAGACAAGGAATAATTAGTAGAACTATTCAAATTTAACACAGTTATGTTGATATATGATATAGTTTTGGACGAATCTAATTTCTTGGTCATATTGAAAATTTTATACTTTATCTCACCTATGTCTCCATTTGGAGAATGCAAGAAAATTTCATATTTTATGTCACTTACGTCTCCATTTAGGGGGTATGGAGGATCCAAAGAAATATGTAGCGAATCGTTTAAGACCGTTGATATACAAATATTTCTTGGACTGGTTGGTGTATCTGGTAATGTAAGTATATCATTCGTTACATTTATAGACTTAATTCCACTGACCGTATCTAGCTTTATTGTAAATACATAAGTCGTATAAGGTTTTAATCCATGTATTAATTTACGTTGTTCAGTGCTGTTAGCGAATTCTTCATTGCCGTTACAATCGTTACTTGGAATACCCTTAGGGCAGTACCCGATGATGTAACGGTGCAAGTAACCCTTTTCTAGAATGCAATTAAGTGACCAATGAAGTTCTACCGAGGTTTTTGCTAACTCACTGTAAGGTTTGAATTGTACATCAAAGTATGGAAAGGACGAGCCTTCATAGGTTTCGCATACATTCCATGTCATTCCATTGGTAGCTTCACGATAGTTCGCTGATATGGCAAATTGATATAAAGTGTCGCGGGGTAATGTGATAAAAAATATATTTTCATGACTCCCTACAATGGTATAATTTATTGGATCTCTGCAATTGTTTTTAATCTTATACGGGCACCAGAAAACAGTATAATTGTCAACATTATGCAATCCTTTCCACGAAAGTTTATTAGTGCCATTATTAAACGTATGTTTCGTAAGTGAAGATACTTGCAAAGTGGTTGTGGATGGAATGTACAAAAAACTTGCATTAATTGATTTACCTATTTCATTCTCGGACCAAATTAAAATGTTGATGTCTTTTTTGGTTGCATTGTTCATTGATAAAAACCCTCCAGTCCTTCTATAAGATTTTTCTATCATACCATGTGCATAAATGAGAATGTTGTAACTGAAGTTAGCTCCGGCTTCTTCATTTTCTTCGAGTTCTTTCCAGTAAATCTGAATGAGTCTGTGTTGATCAAATATTATTTGATGGAATGACCCTGATGCTACGTCAGGCGGCCTCCTCGGTATTACACTGGAAGTATTTACATATATTTCACTAGGTTTGGACCAGAATTTTTCCGATGCACGATCTGGTTTCATAAATACTCGTATTTTATATTGCATGTGAGCATACGGCAATTCAGTAAGATTGAATGCGACGACCTTGTTGGAACTTGATAAATTATTAGAATAATATTGAACAGTTTTGATATGTTTTGATTCGTTCGATTTTTCTATTAAATCGCAGATTATTTTGAATTCATATTCACCGAAATAGTTTCTCAATAAATTGTCATGGACTTCCCATTGGAGCTCTACGTGTTGGGGGCCTACGTTCACTTTGGATAAGTTCTTTACTGCAGCTGGCTTAACAATGGAAAAATGGTCTGTTATATTCTTTATTTCGGTAGCAGAGCCTAACTTATTACTAGAATTAATTAAGATTGTAAATTTTTTCTCATCCCATCTATATGGCGGATGTGTTTCATTGCTCCATAAACAATATCTCCTTTTAGTTGTATTATCTATATTATCTGTTTGGCCCTGAAGCATTCCTCTAAAATCAGAATAAAATACGTCGTATTTGGTTTCGATGTCATCGGGTGAAATCCATGAGCAATTTAAAGTCTCGAAATTGTCAGATATGCACTGAAAGTCTTTTATTTTCCTAGGTGGCTTGGTCACAAATATACATTTAGAAGTATTCTTTTTACATTTATCATAATTAGACTTACAACTATAAGTCACAGTATACTTTCCCGGTAGAGGCTTCGGCACGGTAACAAGTTTAATTGCTGTTTTATTGACCTTTGTAGAATCCAAAACTTTTCCTTGCCATTTGAATTCAAGACAGTCTGCAGGAGAATCCCCATTCGTCATACAAAAAAGCTCTACAGGTTCGCCAATTTTGACATACACTTCACTCGCGGGGTATATTTCGGCACATTCTTGAGATATAACACATTTTAGAAGTAGAGAAAAGCATGCTAAAAAACACCTAAGTTGAAAGTACGTTTTGCATTCGTGTTTACGAGAATGCCACTCCCTTTTTAGTTCACCCATATCCACGTTTGGCATTATGTCTGAATCACATTGTTTAAGTTACTTTGTACAAATAAGGCACATTAGTTAATTAATTGTTTTGAAAGAGCGGATCACGAGCGCCCGCCGCACGCGGTGGCGATAATAGACTGACGAATAACATTTTCTGCACAACACGTTTATCTAAACTGAAGTAAAGTAAGCAACAACGCTATGGAATAATTTGTGAAATGCCTAGGCATAGTACCGTATTGGGACGACGTATAACTTACATTATTAATAATAAATAAATATAATAAAAATAAAAATCATTTATTTTCAGACAACAAAGTTCACATTCAATAAAACATGTGAAAATCATTCTAAAGCTGTTTTCAGTTTTGGAAAACCATTGAATGAATGTTTATCAATAGGTATACGTATAAAACGTATTTTTGAAAGTAGTTAAAGTTCATATCAAATTAGATTTTCGCGATGAACGAAGTAGCAGTAGAGCTCTTTCTGAAAAAGTTCGTCCAGGACATACTGACACCTTATTTATTCTTGCCGCCAAGCAGTAATGTCCGCGTTACTGTGTTCCGGGTTTGAAGTGTAAGGGTGCTGGTGAAATTACAGGCAGATGGGACTTGTCAACTTATGTCTCAGGGTGACGGGCGCAGTGGCAGTTCCCCTCAAATCTTTGCGATTTAAAGCTCTGAGTGGCACTGCAACTGTTAAGGACAGCTTACCATCAGGCGCACGACTTGTTCGTCCCGTCACTTGATATTATAAAAAAAAACTATACTTTTTAATTTTGGTAATATACAGGTAAATTACATGAATAAAATTGGGTCCCCGCGGCAAAGTGCCCAAGATGCTGGCAGCGTTCCCCCTTTGTACGGCTATGCGTTGGACAAGGTAGCGGCCGGCCCTTGGGTTTCCCAGACAGTCTATTAATTGTTTAGATAAAATTTTGTACAGATGAAGGGCACCGGGACCCCACGGCCAAGGGTTACACATAGGAAATGAAACCTTTTTCTCGGATATACTTATAAGTCGCGTATATATGTTTTCTCAAACAAACTAACGTTTCGGGCCTTTACAGGTCACATTCACCCTTAACCATGGGACCTGGAAAGGGCCCGAAACGTGATCCGAGAAAATAGTTTCATTTCCTATGGTTAAAATTCTCCGAAAGAAGTTTCATTTCACGCTCATGCAAGCACTCATCCATTCACAATAACATTCAAAAATACGAAAACCATGTAAATACATACATACATATAACAATATCTTCTACACAAATATAAATAAAAGAAATTATTTCATACTAACATTATTCGTAAGAAGTGATTAAATGTAATTTAATTTTACTACACCTTAAGTAGAGTAAATAAGCTGTACGTAGAACCAAGAGGGGGCATCAGGAGTAGACGCGGGCGTTTAAAAAGGCATTTTAAAAAGTTTGCTTTAAGCACACTTTTCAATTCAAGCGTAAGTGTTGGTCAGTTCAATAATCAACAATTTCATTTTTTACGACGTGCTTTTGTTTCAAGTACCGCCATCTATGTGTCCTAAACAAATTAATTCGGCAATGTGAATAGTAATTTTATAAACAAAACTAAAACTCGTGTTTTACAAATAAACTTACTTGTCTTATAATTTTCAGTGGTCTACTTTTACTTTTCGCTATCAATACAACGTTGCAAGCTTTTTTAACATAAAAGCCTATGCGTTTAAACGTTTTCCTAAACGAGTTTGTAAGCTTCAAACTGTAAAGCGTTTAAGTGAAAAGCGTTTTTATAAACATGCTTTTCTAAAAAAAAACACGTTTTAACGTTTAAAAAAACTTTACGCTAAAGGTTTAATACCTATACAACTTCTGCGTACTTGGATGTCAAAAATCCGTGGTAGTAATCCGTTTAGCTCATGGAGGTAGTCTCGATTTCTGATGCTTGAAAACAAAAAAAATATATATGTAAATGTTGAATGTGTACAAATGTTAATTACAAAGAGCAACCCCTAGAGTTTCTTGCTCATTCTTCTCAGGGGAATCTGCTTTACGAATGACCGGTAGAGTTTAACCAATGTGACGATTTCAAGTGTAATAATGCTTACCTATGAAATAAATATTATTTAGATTTTTGATTTACCTATAAAATAAAGATTGTTTAGGAAATGAAACTATTTTTCCGGATTTAAATCGCGTATATTTGTTTTTTCAAACAAACCGACGTTTAAATCCGGAAAAATGGTTTCATTTCCTATGTGTAACAATCGCGAAAACCTAAGAACTCGATAAAGATTATTTGACTTAACTTCGACTCTGCTCGCCGTTTTATCTGGTGGCGCAGTCAAGGCTATCATCAGCGGCCAACTACAAAATGTCCTTTGTAAAAAAAATCGTGCGAATATCTGCAACATAGGGGTGGAACTTCGGTCTAAGTCTTCCCCCGATGATATAAAAGGGGGTGGCGGTTTTGTGTGTATGTAATATGAAGTACATGTTACGTACATACAATAGCATATACGTAACATGTACTTCCTATTTATATTTACTGTATTATAAATTATGTTCTATTCCGTTTGCAATAACAAAAAAAATTTTAAAAGTATGCAGTTGACTTCCTAAATCCACACTTTAGGAACAGTAGAGCTCCTTGTGAAAGAGTTCGTAAAGGGTAGTACTGCCACCTTACCTATTTCTACCGCCAAGCAGTAATGTCAGCATTACTGTGTTCCGGTTTTGAAGGGTAAGTGTGCTGGTGAAATTACAGGAACATTGGACTTGTCAACCTCCGTCTCAGGGTGACGGGTGCAACGGCAGTGCCCCTCAAATCTATGCGGTTTAAACATTGACTTACAAATAAATGGACGACGGGTCTAATACAAAAACCACGAAAAAAATTACCCAAGTCAACCTATTTAAACGTAGTGACATGTAAAGGAATATGAAAAAGATAAAAGGTTGAATTTAAATTGTAATGTCATCGCAGTACTGTCTAATATTGCTTGTTTCGCTGTCAGTCGAACAAACGAAGACTAAAGCGTGAATGACGCTCTGTATACGATTTTAACGCCCTATAAGTTCGGACACTTTTTAGCGCGGACCCGACGTCCATATAATTGTAAGTCAATGGGTTTAAAGCTCTAAGTTGCACTGCAACTGTCATAAACAGGCGTGTAACTTACCATCAGGCGCACGACTTATTCGTCCCGTCACTTGATATTATTAAAAAAATCGCACTATGTAAAAGCTCGTTTTTCCATACATGTTGTTAATTTTATTTATCTATTTTCAGAAACGCTAGACGACGCTGTCAATACGTCTATATGGAGAGAAAACAATTATCCTCATTTATGCGCGCCGTTTTCCCCTTGTGTTATACTACAATGGACTTATAGAGACGGTAAATTTATATATTATATTAGTTTATACTTCTATTTAGCTATTGTATCAAGGAAACTAAATTCATAGTATAATTAGACTAGTAGTCCGACTCCCGCCTGTTCGGCACGCCAATTTTAGTTGACCTAAAATATAACAAACATAATTTGAACAATTAAGATCTACATCACAGTATTCTCGCGCTTGGCATCCCATTTCTCGATTATGTATGTAGTATGATTATGAAATAAAAATTAAATGCTATTTGTGTATATAACACACACATCAAAAGTGTCTAGGAATGAAGCACGTTTTTGCCTACTTCTGAAAATCAGATTTTTAATGAATTTTTAATGTGTGTAAAAAAAGTATAAATTTGATACAGTAAAATATTATCGTCGATTACGATTTGTCTTAAATGTTTATCACTGCTATTTAAAGTAAAGCACTCTTAAAGTTCAAACAATAATAAACACAACAATAAACATGTTTACTTTCTGATTTATTTCTTAACACTTGGCGAACGCTTCAATTCTGTAATAAGTGACGCGTGCAACTCGAGTGCCTCGCGAGATTATGCGAACGTGTGCATGCGTCCATACACGGCACGCGGTGGGCGTGCACACATACTAGCCGCGCTGCTACATTTGTATGGAGTTACCCTTCGTATTATACTATGTTAAATATAACTGCCGTTCCTCAAGGATCCTGTAACCACATTTAAAAAGGCCCCGTATATTAATAAACCCGTCTCAAGCAAAGAATCTGTATTGAGAACTTGTTTAAGCCGGTTCTCTTTATTCATAATCGTTTTATTATTATTAATATCAATGAAGTGGAGGTTTTAGTTCTAAAATTAAGTGCACGTGGTGTTAGGTAAATGTTCAAAAAATTTTTAAGGAAAATAATTAAAAATATATTTCTTTTAATTTTCGAAAAATAAATTGTTTATAAATAAATTGTGGTAAAAACGTTTTTTTTTCTGATAAATATTGTTATGTTTCAATATAAAATCTTTTCCATGACTCACTATTAAGTGCACGTGGTTAACTACATGCATAAACTTGTGTTCCATATTTGCATAATATTAAATATAGCTCAGAAAATGCATTATTACTAACCTAACCTAAACCCCGACAAAAATTGCCGACAAGTATTTGATCTGGTCTTAAAATGACGTCGCTACGTCGTCGTGAAAATGTAGCCTTTTAAAATCCCAATTTTGAAGACCTAATTTCGATATAACCTACGAGAAAACTCATTTCATCTAGGTATCACCTGCGCCGTTTATGACTATGTATATATAAACACACACACACACACACACGCGCGCGCGCGCGCGCGCGCACACACACAC